GAGGGGTCTGGAGAACAAGTCTTATGAGGAGCGGCTGAGGGAACTGGGGTTGTTTAGCCTGGAGAAAAGGAGGCTCGGGGAAAACCTTATTGCTCTCTACAACTACCTGAAAGGAGGTTGTAGCGAGGTGGGTGTCAGTCTCTTCTCCCAAGTAACAAGCGATAGGACGAGAGGAAATGGCTTCAAGTTGCACCAGGGGAGGTTTAGATTGGATAGTAGGAAAAATTTCTTCACAGAAAGGGTTGTCAAGCATTGGAACAGGCTGCCCTGGGAAGTGGTTGAGTCACCATCCCTGGAGGTATTCAAAAGACATGTGGATGTGGTGCTTAGGGACATGGTTTAGTGGTGGACTTGGCAGTGCTAGGTTTATGGTTGGACTCGATGACCTTAAAGGACTTTTCCAACCTAAATGATTCTATGATTCTGTATTATTGCTTATTTTCTGGAGGTTACTTAAGACAAGCAGCACTTATGGTCATTTCCAACTCTTCAGTCTGGGGGTGGGAAATAAGTGGAAAATGATAGGTTGTAAGGCAGGTAGAATAAGGAAAGGAGCTAGATTCATTACCTGAGGTATAGGTTTGGCTGTCAATATGCCAAAACATCTTGTTGTATCCTCAGGAGGATATAGCTTTCGTCTCCTGAAGTTGAGCTCATCAGGTAGAGGAGTCGTTAACACCATTCCTATCACATACAGGTAACAGGGCTGATCAGGTTTGGGATAACTATCCCTTAAACATTCTGGAATCTAAAGTAAAAAAAAAAAAAAAAAAAAAAAAACAAAACAAAACCCAAATATTAACATGATAAAAATCAGCAAAATTCACCTAAAGACTATTCTTTGAACAAGCCTTCACATGTTTATTTGGAAAAGTATTGCTAAAAATGAGGAATTAAAAAAAAAATCTAGACTTAAGTAATTTTTTCTTTCTTAAGCTTGTTTGGTCAGCAGCCTGGCCTGGTAGCCATGAGATCTGTCTGAACACTTGCATCAAGGGAGCACAATGCTCCCCCATCTTCCTATTTGCCAAGAGGCAACTTCCATTACATCCCTAAACTTCCTCTGTATCCACCCTGCGTTAGAAACGCAAGTCTAACTGTAGAACACAGACAGCACTTCACCATAAATACAACTTAAGTTTTGATGCCAATTTCCATATTTACCAGTAACTCTGGAGCACACTTTATGTCCAAGGTCTTTGGACATTAACAGTAGAAGGAAAAAAGAAAAGGAAAGAAGAAAAATGTACGCGCGCAGAAAAAAACCTACATCCCAGTAATTCAATTTTCACATAAGCTTGGCTGAACTTATAGCTTCATTAACATGGATTCTTTTCCCCAGCAGAAGTGTTTAAAAGCATCAAAAAAAGTTTTTCATACACTTGAGACAAACACACAAACAAACACACTGCCCCTTTGCCCAGGCACTACACTATAGAAGTTTTCTAATAACAATTCTAGCTTGCAGATGTGAATACTTACAACAGCACTTTCAACTCTGCTGCTCATATTTGTCACAGACCTTAAGAAACCATGCTTTACGTTTGGTAGGAGTTCATTACTTTGTAGGTCTCAAAAATGATCCTCCTGTTTATCTAAAGCTAAATTGCAATACATGTAGTCCTGGATTTTAAAGTTATACTGTAGCAAAACTATGGCCTTGGCTTAATGGAAAATTACTCATAAGTTTAATAACTATATTAAGCCCAAGAGGATCTTGGAGACCTTAAACATTTGCCAAAGCTTCTTTTCCAGATGTGAAAAGCTGGGACAAAGGCAAGGGAAAGTATTCTTGGATTCTGTATTAAAAAAAATAACCAAGAAAGAACGATGCATCACTTGACAAATCAGCTCCTCTGAATGACAGATACCATAATTGTGCATTTTACAAGTCACCCCTATTCCAAAAATCACTAGTGAGGTAAGAGGACTGAGAAAGGCACTTGTAACAAGAAACACCAAGAAACACTGTGCAAAGATTCAAACTGTTTGTGAAGTACTGCAAGAAAAAGGTTTTCTCATCTGTCATTCCCTCTGTAATATACTCTGTGATGCCACAGTATCCTTTCCTAAGCTTTCCTAATAACCAATTATTTAAACTACTAATAAAATTGGTGCATGCGGAGGATGCCAAGAATGGAATTACTTAAGGGCTATCACCATAACTGAGGCTGCACATGAACGTACAACACAGCACTGTAGCCTAGTACTGTGAGTGCACACGCTGACATTCCTACATGTGACCAAAGGCTATCCATTTCTTCGTGAAATGCAAAGATTATCAGAAGCTACTATGCAATCTATTCTGAACAAGTTACGTGTCCTATTCAAAGGACCTTAGACAGAACCTGTAGCAACTGCAGGGGAAGGAAGGAAGGTTCTGGAGTAGTTGCAAGATACTCTGACAAAGCTTCTTTTCTCCATTTTCTCTTACTTTTAAAGTATTTGACATTCCCCATAAATACTACCCAAGAAATCCAATTCTACAAACTGATGTGGCTGAAACCTGTTGTAACAGATCTATGGATAAGTTACTTAATAATGCAGAGCCACAGTAAGTATCTTATGTGACCCCTTTAGCATATTAAGCATAATATTTAGAACTATTTTAAAAGTAAAAAATATTAAAAGTACACTTATTTGATATTCTAAGATTTAAACCAAAATTATGAAATTCTGTGTTTGACCTGTAAAGTCACCAAACTAAACCAAGCATCTAAAAAAAAAAAAGTTTCTGTGTTTAGCGCCTGGCAGATAACTTTGACCTCCTGGGCACCTCCTTTAGTCTTCAATTATTTGTCTAGAAAGCCAGTAATTCTTCCTTTGCTCTAGTATATTTACCAGAGAACTTAAAAGTTTCTACAGATTATTAATGCAGGACAATTTTTCATCCCAGTTATTTCTATACTAGGCAAATACAGTCAACAAGCTTTATAAGAAAGGGTACATTCTTTGAACTACAGGCATGCTTCCAAAGCATATGGTCGCATAAGCTCATTCAGGTAATAGTGCAGGTTTCCATACAGTTAAAACTGCAAAATATTTCCACTATAAACGCAAGATTTTTTTCAAAAGATTCTTATCATCAGGTAAGATTAAGAATTGGCAATTTTGTCTTCTTATCAGTACATAAAGCATTTGATCGGAGATGTGGACAAAAGTGAGTGATACTAACAGCTTTAGGATAGCATTGTCTTCGTTTTGTAGAGCCTGGCCTTCCTGGAACACTGGTTTCTTCTTCATCATGTAAATCAAGCTCCTCCTCATATTTAACCGTTTCTTTACCAACTGGCATCAAATGATCATCCAGTTCACCTGAATATTATGAAAAAGTACAAAGTAATTTGATTGTTCATAATGCTATCTTAGTTCCTTCAGATACTACGCAGTAGTTGTGATTGCTCATGAAAACACCTCACCTACGTTTTTAAAATACACTTACTACTGCCAGGCTCCAAAAGTGTAACTTTGGGGAAAGAGTAATAAAGGTTGAATTTTTGGCAAAAATAATCACAGTAAAAATCTCTGAAATTTTAATAAAAAAAAAATTTTACTTCTATAATGAAAATATCAAAGAAAAATAAACTTTTTTGCCCATAAAAACCAACTAGTGACTGAAATACTCATTTAAAAATACTCACATGGAGTTATGCCAAGAAAGAGGGAACAGTTATATTTCTGTATCATTCTAAAAAGTGAATTACTACTGTTGAATGTGCACTCTCAACACTGAGTTGAGCCATCACGGTGTTATTCTTGGATACATTTATTGGTATGAATTCAGTGATCAAAAGGTTTAACTCAGAGAAAAAAATACAAAACCCAGATCTACAAATTTTTTTGCTTAAAAGATACATAAATACTTCTGTATTTCATCAAAGCACCTATAACATGGAATTTTCTTTAAAACATTCCACAAAAAAGAATATGCTCCATTATACTTACTAGAAACAAGAGAGCTGAAATAATCCTGCAATGTCCTATTTTTGGAACATGACTTATGATACAGGAGAGAATACAATAAATTTAGAGCTGTGTATTTTATATTTTAATTTGTTACAATTAACTTTAAAAAACAAGTTATTTTTTGGCTGCAGGATGTAGTCCCTGAGCTACAATCAAGATCTTCTAGAGAACAAGACTCTTTCCCCTTTTATTAAGCATATTCAATGTCAAAATCTGTGTGTCTTGTATTAATGCTACATTTGCTGTTTAAGACAAAATAAGTTAAATAAGATTCCCCTGGAAAATTTAACTTTAGCTTACAAGGTGTAAGCTAAATTAGTAAGTACATGATCATACCACAAAACAAGGCAAGAGAAAGGAAGCTATCGTAGATGGCTATAGCAGAAATGCATATATATGCATAACATCAGTACCATGTTCAATTTCTCAATTATAAAATATTCTTTACCAAAGAGGTGTTGCTTTTCCAGTTCTTACCGATTTTGTGCAGTTTTTCACAGCAAATAAGAGCTACAACTCTCTCAGCCAGTCTTGCACAACTCATTGGAGGACCCTATAAACATTTAAATATTTTTTGAAAACTTTGGTTGATTAGCACATTACTTATTATACATGTTACAAACAGTTAGTTTAACACAAACATTAGGTAAGCACAACTTCGTAAAATATTATATTGATGACAGTTTTGTGAAGATATTCAGGCTTATGTTGTTTTTCCACAGAAGCCAAAATTACAAGGTTTTGAACTCAACATACTATTGATCAAAACCAATACAGGAAGTTTTCCTATAACCGATACATGTGTGTGAAAAAACAAGGCACTGGGAAGAACATCTAAATATTTTTGCCTTTGGAATAAACAGTAACTGCTGGAGAAGATTGTAACAGATACAAACAGGGATCTAAATACAGTTAGAGAACACAATACAGGAAAAGAAAAGTCATATCATTTTCATTACAACAGTGAAACAAACTAATTCTAGAAAAGGCACACACACATCTATACCAACATATTCACTTATTTCTATGCTTTTCCTTCCCCAAATACCTACAACAATTGAAGCTCGAAGAGGTGAGTTGATTGGCAGGTAGAGAGTAGAGTAAAACGTATGATCAGGTAGTTCTCGGGTTTTACACTTGGGAGCTAGGTGTGTAAATGGATCACTTGGTAATCTAGCGCAGTACCTAAGTTGACAAAACATTTTACAAATCATCAAAACCTGCAAATTGAAACCTAAAGACATTTCAATGGAATCTTGCCTTACTGGTGTAAACACTACAGAAGATGATTTCAGGCCATACTGAGCACTGCAAGGGTACACTGCTGACTGATGTTCAACTAACTAACTGCCGAGCAGGAGACCTCCAAGTCCTTTACTACAAAGCTGGTCTCTAGAAAGGTGGTTGCAAGGTTGTAATGATGCACAGGACTATTCCATCCCAGGTAGCAGAGTTTGCATTTGTTTTTGTTTAATGTCTGGAGTTTACTGTTGTCCTATTCCTCCTATTTGTCATGGTTCCCTTCTGAACGGTAGCCTTACCTCCACTGCACTCACTTCCCCCTCTCCCAACTTGGCGTCAAATGCTAACATGCTGACGTTAAACTGTATTGGACCTCTTAATAGCCCATGAGGAATGCCACACATAAGCAGCTGCCAGCTACCCTTTGAATCATCTACCATCACACCCTTTGAATCTGACTGCTTTGCCAGGTTTTATTTACCAGGCAGTCTACCAAAATGGTCTGCATCTCATAAATTTGGCCACTAAGGTACTATGGCAATTGCATTGAAAGCTTTACTTAAGTAAGTGACATTCACTGCTTTTCTCCTGTTCACAGAGTCAAGCAAGCACTTCATCACACAGGGGACAAGGTTGGTCGGGCAAAACACTGTCCTCAATAAAGCTCCTGTTGGCTGCTGCCAACCACTTTTTCCTTTATGTGCCTGGAAACAGCTTCCATGAGGGCTTGGTCCATAATATTCCATATGACTAAGGTAAAATTGACCAGTCTGTAGCTACCTGGATCATCTTCCTTGCCTTTTTTGAAGTGTCATAACATTTACCTTTTCCTGTCACTGAGGACCTCCTCTAATTGCCATGGCCTTACAAAGATGATATTGGCTAGCTCCCTTGGAAGCATATCATCCTGTCTTGTGGACTTGTATTATGTCCAGCTTGCTTACTATGTTGTTTTTTTTTTTTTAAATGTGACAACAGACTGCTATTACAAATGTGAATATTAGAACTGGAAGATTTTACTACAGTTCTAACAAGCTCTTTTTTTTTTTTAAAGCTAGCTTGCCAAGAGCAAAAGAAAAATCTTACTACCCTTTTTGAAAAGGAATGTTTTCAGAGCAGCTTTTAATTACAGGAATCAATATCACTAAATTTATTATCAGAGCTAGAACCTCTGTAGGATAAAGAGATAAAAAGCAAACTATCCCTTCAAACTGCTGTGACCACTTTCTTTAGGAGGAAAGATCCTACAAGATTCCTAAGAGGAAATGTGTACAATGCCGCAGCCTACACTTCCACGTTGCAAGACAGACTAAGAAACTCTTTATTTAAAGACAAGAAGTAAAAAGTGAGTATGCCTCTTACCTATTTATGTGTCCAATAGCAGTGTTAATAGTAACTCTTGGACTGTTCTCATCTGGCCTCAACACATAAGGTGGAAATACATCATCATCATCAACAATGGGTTCGGTTTCAGTTTCATTGTTATCGACAGATTTTGAGCATTTGTTTCTCAGGATCTTCAAGGATTTCAAGAACAGAGCATAATGAGAGATTTTTCCTTTAAAATACTATGATAAATTTAACAAAAACAGGCATGGTCCTTTGACCTCATACCTTCTCAATTGCTTTGTATGTCTTAAGATCTTCTTCAAAACTTTTGATTTTGTCTGTATCTGCTAACATGATATAATTGGAAATTGGTGCTCTAGCTCTTCCTTTTGACTGCACATAGGAACGGTATTCTGTGGGCAAATCAAAACGCACCACCAAGTTGCATTTTGGTATGTCAACACCCTCTTCTACAATACTAGTAGCAATAAGTAGGTTGGTCTCATGTGCGCGAAATTTTCTAAGAACCTGCAAAAGTAATGAAGACAAATTTAAGAGATTAGTCCGCAACCTGTTTCCACCATCAGATTCATCAAAAGCCAATAAAAAAAAAAAGAGAGTGGATCAGACATTCCAAAAACTTGTCTAAATATGCAGATATAAAACTATTACAAAAAGTCTTTTCAGAAACACAGCAAGACTATTTATCAGAACAGTCAGATTTCTAGGAATCAAATCTGGTATGTGGAATTACATGAGTCTAAGCTACTACAGCCACTAGCAATGGAGAGGATCCCACTTATTTACAAGTTTTCAGCTATTGTATAAAAAAACGCTGCTTTCAGGACAGCATCTTTTCCAACCATTTTAGAGGTTGAAACATCCAGGGGTGGGGGGGGGGGGGGGCTTTGGTGGAGCTCTACCATTCTAGAGCTGGTACTTCTGATATTTATACTATTTACTAAACAATACTACGGAAAAGTTGAGGAGGAGGGAAGGTCAGAAGAACAACGCAGCCGGGGGTGAGGGGGAGGAATAAATGCATTTGCTTTCAAAATACTTCACGTGCTTTAAGTGAGGTCAAAATCATGGGGTCTCATATCATTTAATGATTTACCAAATTCACTTTTAGCAAAGATAAATATTAAAACCAGCTTAACTGTTGAAAACGTCAGGAACCTGAATTTTCTTTAAAGTATTACTGTACTACTACTAACCCAATGCATAAAAATCAGATGGTTGATGATCCGACTAGACACAAACATGATTTTACATAGTCTTAATTTGTTTGTGTAATGTGACATAGCAATGCCTCTTTGGTTTTTTTTGTTTTGTTTTTTTGTTTTAAATGAAGAACATCTGTATCTCCAATAAGTATGCATATTTGTTAAACCAAGGGTATTCCCTGAACTTCCAATAACTGTGCCCAGACTCTGCCAGTTGGTTTTTGTTTTTAAAGACACACACACCAAACCAAAACACCAAAAGGTTCTGAAGGTACTGCTAGTTTCAATTATTTTTCTTGAAGTTACCTCTTCCTGTTTTCTGAATTCTACTTCCATCTGCTTGTTACGAGGCTGGTTCTTGCCAATGCCATGTCCAGTTATAAAATTGCTACTGATGTAAGCCAGTTCTGGATCTTGCTTGCCAGCTTCTTTTATCAACCTAAAAATATTACATGCGTTTTTAGAAGTCACACAACTCAGAAAATGGAAGACAATCTTTTGTTGCAAGACCTACATTAAAAGAACAAATGGGAGCATGACATTTAAGCCATGCTAACACATAAACTGACCTTAGTCTTCCCTAAAAACACTAGTTCTAGTGAAAACCTCTGTAAGGATAATAAAAGACAGACTGCATACACACACAGCATGAGTGTGCGGGCATCACATGCATTTCAGACCTATCATGGTAAAACCAGGTATTTTTAAACCAATCTATTACTTTAAGGCTCCCTGTTGTTAAGACACCCTACTCACAACCGGCTCACTTAACCTCATTTTCTGTAAATGATGACTCATTTTAGCAGAAAGACCTGTAACTGCTCCCTCAACAAAGTATGCTTCCTCAATATAAGGTGTTAATTTTTAGGTTAATATTAAGGAGAATAACAATCTATGTTTTAAAATACATGTATTTTTTTCAGGTATACTAATGACAAAATGTTGACCAGTTTTTCTGAAGAGCGATGCTCAGCCTACTCGGTGAGACCTTTACTATTTTTGAAATTAACCCAAACGTACCTACAATTGGAGGATTTAATCCAATTCTTTGAAAGGAACACTGAACAGAGATGTGAGGATCATCTAAGCTCTGTTTATTCCCCTATGTCCTTCTTTAGGTTACAGAAGGAGAAAAGGCTGGCTTCTGCAGTGTTTTGATTTCACAGACAAGGTAGAAGATTGCTCATATAAATAATGCACTGAATCCAGAACTAGGCATTTATGGATTTAAAAGCATAATTACATTGTGCAAAGTAATTATGCTGTAGCATCCTTAGTTGATCTGTTTTCAGCATGGACAGAACCTGGGATTTCTCAACCATAACAGGTTTTTGAGCAGCAGAGCCGATAAAAATCAAGGGATCATATACAAAAAGTTACATCCCTTGCATGTCTCACTATAGCCATCCCAGTACCACTTTGCTCATAGCATATCCATCATGTCCATCACCAGGTGCTCCTCATATCCAAAGGACAGCCTGCCTCTGTATACCTCCAACAGCAATTCAAACCTTTCCCAATTACATCTCTAGCAATTCTGCCTCACATATAAGATGATGGGTGCTGTGCCAGCCCCCAGCTCCATGCCTACCACTGCCCAGTGAGCTGCTGCCAAACCAGGTGGAAAATGGCAAAGTTCTCCCTGCCCTTTCTACCATTGGAAAACTACTGAAGTCTCTCCCCTTTACCTGGTCGCTGTTTTAAACAAGATTTATGGGAACATAAAACACCTTGAAGACTTCCTTCCTTTGCAATCTGTTAAAACCAGAGTGGATAGGGAGTATAGGCAAGAGAACGGAAAAGCAGCAAATAGCTTGGTAACCTTACAGAAACAGACTAGAAGAATCCTTCTGTACTAAAATGCACGTGATTTGTTAGTTCAGGCTAAACAGATTCACATTTCTGTACACAGTCTAGGCTCGAGACAGACATACTAATAAAGTACGGGTTAATAACTGGACATTTTTTCATATGTCTTTTTCCACATGGCATTTCTGTCAAGTCATACAGCTTCAGTTTGAGTACCTACTAAGCATCTCAAACATTCTTACTGTATCTCACTGTAGAAATGGACAATTAAAAACACTGAATAAACATGTCACTGTGCACATCTTTGGCAAGTTCTTAAGAAACATTCAAGACTTCAACCTTGTGGTTAAAAAAGTATTATTAGTGGTAGATAATGGGTGTTGTTTTTCAAATAGATACAAAAACTTCTGCTTTCAGACCCCTCTCTAAGGCAGTTGAGAGGCACGGCAATGAAAATGGAAGGAAACTGGGCTTTCGAAAATGTTTTCTTTTCTGAAAAGGAGCTTATAGGAACCAGAACTCAATGCATACACCAAATAAAACAGTAAATGAGCCACTTCATCAGTTGTGTGTAATAATAATCAAAGAATAGGCTGGGGTTTTGGGGGTTTTTTTGTTTTTTTTTTTTTTTTTCTAATTTGTAGTATTTACAGTAAGTGCAGTGGCTTTTGCTAAAGTTCTCTAAGGAAAGAGATTAACTCTAATTACTGCTTCAGAGAAAATTCCTACCCATTTCTCCCAGAAAATAAAACACATGCCATGAATTTTGCCCTTCCTCAGTCATCATGAACTATGGACTTCATAAAATGGGATTCTAGTCTCTAAATCTTACCATAATAAATATATTTTAAGAAAAATTCTATTTCTGCTTTAGCTTAGTTCTGTTTAATGATCCATACTCGATTACTGGAAGCTCGAGTGGTTTTGATATACTAATTCAAACACTCATGACTTCCTTATTCAGGAGACAGTCTTTCCACCTGTATATACAACATAAGTATAGCTACAATCGGCAGAGGCCCTTGAACTAAATCCAGTGAATTGAAGTGAGCCTACAGTGAGGTTCTCCACTGAAGGCTTTTGGTCTCCTGTCCAACAGCTCAGGTCTGCTGATCATCCACGTATTTTGAGACCAGGTGTGTTACATGAGGTAAAGGAGAATTCTGAGAGTCTGCTAGCTAGCTTTCAGAAGTGGATAACAAGTTACATATAGTCTTATTTTTTGCTGCCAATAACCTGTACCAAAGGTGCCTAAAGCTTAAAGATGGCAGAATTTGGTTACCTATTTGATCTAGACATCATATTCTGTCAGGTTCAAGAGCATTTAGAATATAGTATAGCGCATAAATCACAGTCTACAAGAATGCACAGTGGAAAAAGAGTATAATTTAAATCACATTCATAATTTAACAGAGAAGAAAAAAATTAACAATTCTGTTCACTCCCTGTAGGACCATGAAATACTCATTTCAGCTCAGCAAAAATTTATCAGGATCTGTTAATGTTATTTCTTCAGGAGTTATTAACAGAACATGACCATTTCACTGAATGGCTTAGTTTGCATCATATTGCATATTTATGCAAACATATTTAAAAATGCAAAAAAAGCAAAGAAAAAAGATGAAGTTCATAAAAAACACATAGGCAAGTTTGCAGATCAAAGCATATATTATGCACTCGAACTATTGACTCAGCCAAAAAGGTAACAACAGAAGGGTCAGATTCAGTGGTATCCAGAATGCAATAAACAAATTGCATAGGACATTTAGCATACTATCAAAAAAACTACCAAAAACCCAAAAATCAAGATAGGTGAATAAATCAGATGTCATTCATGGTTTGTGGCAAATAGCATTTAACAATTAAGTGTTATGTATAACTAACATGGATCATATTCAGGAATAAGAACTGATAAGGAACTAGAGCACTGCAAAGTATATCTTGGCCAATATTCCAGGGTTCATATTTTTCTTGGTGGAGACCGTAAGAAAGTGCTTAGTGTCTAAATGAATAGGTGTTTTATAAACACCAACTGTTAAAGTGGTACTGGTAACTCTTAAGACATATTTGTGCAAGGGCAAATTTGGTTTTCTGTAGACTTGGATCATATAATAATGTGATTTAGTAAGGTAATGGTAAAATTTCCAGAAGTATTGCACTCAGTAGGTTAGAGAAGTTTCCAGCATCCATTGCAAATATAAATTTAAAGACTGATTAAGACAAATTAGTATATGGCTATTTTACAGGTTAAGTACAGTATTTCACATTTTTCCTTCTAAAGAAAACAAATTACAAACTCAGGTCCAAAACAAGCCCTTGAGTACAATTTTCAAAGACACATACTCTTCCCATCCACCCCATATACACATAGCCTGATTTTTTTTTTTTTGTTATTCTTTACGCAGATCCAGCATGATCTCCTAAACCAACTTTAAAATAGAGTTCTGAAAATACAAGACAATCCCCCACATATTCCTAATATTAACAACCAGGTGCTGGCAGCTGAGTCAGCCTTTTTTGGTTTTTTAAGTGATTTTTTTTTTTAAATAAAAAGCTTTACCTATTTAGAACAACTGCTGTGTATCTTCTTTCCACAAAAATAATTCCACATAAAATATTAGTAAAGGGAGATGGGAAATTAGTCTCTGGCTTCTCTTTCTCCTCAATTTCTTCATCCTCATCATCATCTTCAGAATCACTCCAAGACACATAATTATCCTGATTCCTATTGTTATACCATTCAACACTTTCAAACTGCTGCCGTTCATATGGTTTATATTTGCGCAAGATTTCAAGCAGCTTTATTACTTTTGGGGTTACAAATTTCAGGTCAAGTGAGGCAGGCGAGAAGTGCTCTTCACAGAGTGCATGTATTTTCCTTAGGAAAGTGTCTGTAAACAATAAAAATTTCCTGTGCAGCTCCTCTTGTTCGTGTTTGATATACTTCTGTAGCTCTCTCACCATCATCCCGGCTACCTTATCTGCACACCAGGGTCCCAGAACAACCAACACAGCTCGGCAGTCTGACAATATCTACAACAAATGAATTCAAATATTAGTTCAAAGAGTACATTCATGAACTATTCTGCCTGGGATCTTGTTTCTCATATAGCACAATCTGTGTAAGGATTATGACAATTGTTCTATCATAAAAATATTTAGAAGTCTGCTTTTGTTATTTAGATAACCTTGGGAACTTCGGTGTTTCTAATGGAGCAAGTTTCCCCCTTCCCCCTAAACTACTGCAATTAAACTTTGAGCTTTGTACATTTCTGAATCTCAAATAAAAAGTTTAAAGAACATTTCACAATTTTGTGGAATTGTAATTCGAAATTTACCTTAAGATAATTACATTAAAAAGGACAATACTTCTTGAGGCAGCTAGATAAACAAAGCAGAAATTATTACCCTTTATATTTAACATACATCTAATAAAATAAACGCTTTACTGGGCATTTTTACTTTGCTACTGATACTTGCCAGGGTTTCAAAAGAATCTAACCAGAAAGTTCTACAGTGGCCTTTGTGTAATCTTAGCAAGTCTAGCCTCTCAAAGGAAAAAAAATTAGGGGTTTGTATGTGCGGGTGGAATAGGAAAAAGAAAGAGAACTATACCCTACTCAGAGAGTACCGCATAGGCACTTGAGTACCATCAACTTCTTATCTGATGGCAAGTTGTTTCCTCCTGAAGAGTCAAGTGCTCAAACAATAAACTAAGAATCCAGAAATGGGGTACATTGATAACACTACTAAAAAGATTCATGATTTGGATGTACTGTTACAACATAAGAACTATGACAGAACTATAACAACAGTCAGGATGATACAGTTTTCAGTTGCTGCTTTAATGTCTCTTCCTTCCTCCCTTCTGTGAGGCAGTAAAGAACAGGTTATCATCCTCTTTACACTATCCTCCCTGAAGTTTGGTAGCTGTAAGACTTAAAGGCAAAATTTATCTATATTAATTGTAACTGCACATAAAGGCTTGATGCTCTCCAGTGCCAAGATAAAAGGCACCTCAGGCTGAAAACTGATTTCTTTTTCTTAATATGGGTGCCTCCATCTTCTTGGAGAGCTACTGGATCAGAAAACAATCACAGAAGGTTACATGAATTAGAAGCATAGCAGTTAATCCACTCTTCTGGACTATGCAAATCCTGGGGATTGCCCCCAGCTGCCAGCATTCCTTATGTATTTTAGCCTATTACATTTTAAGTTTAGCACAAAAGGAACCAGGACTTCCTTTTCCCATGCAGTCGTGATAGGCTGCCTTATGTATCATCCTTCCCTCTGGCCCAAATAATCTTTTTCTGGACAGCGTCAGAGTGCTGGGTTTCTAAGAATGTTAAAGGAAACTGGAATACTTTGGGCTGAAGAAAGAAATACGTTCTCCGACTTCCCCATGGACTATTATAGAAATATGACTCATTACTGACTTCTTGGTTAAACAAAGACTTACATACCTACATGGTTGTACCTCAGGAGGCAATTCCAAACCACAAAGCCCAAGAAGGAAAAAAAGCTGCCCGGACCCCGGACCCGACATGTGACAGGTCCCTGCTCAATACACCATGCCTTCTGCACTCTACTCTGCCATCTCACATGACAACATAGGGGCAAAAATATAGCAAGGTAGGGGCAAGCTTGACATTTAAATTCCATTCTAGCAAGGTGTGGCACTAGCCCAATATTGTTTAAGATAAATTGTAGAAGTTGTAGATCTATGGCTGGAATTTTTGCCTGAATTCTTACTTTATCATCTTTTAATACACCTGGGTACATTTTTTCCAAATACTTCCTGAGGCATTACTTCCTCTTCTGTACTGAATTATTCAAAGGTCATGGGAGACGACAAAGACGTCAAATTCCTGACTTCAGAAATAAGGACCCACAACATCAGGGTGCAGAATTATTTTACCGCCTTAAGGAAATGTGAATACAACATTCTCTAACCAGATGAAGTTCTAATCAATGGTTGACATTCAAGCTCCACTCATTTATGAAAAGACTTGCACTGTTAGCGAGTACAAAAATCAGAAGTCTTTTTGCTCACTCTAGGCTGGCTAGCTTAGGTTTCAGTAATGTAACATACAAGGGAAAGAAAAACAGTAGTAAGACTGTTTTCCCCAGGTTTTTCACATAGCTTAATGTCCTTACCTGCTTAGAAATTAATGTAGAATCTCTTTCTTTTGAATGTACAGATATGTTGCAGTCATTTAGAAAAGCAAGCGCTTCATCCAATTCCTTTAATAATCTTCCATACAACCCACTTTTGTCAGTATATGGTCCACAGTCCACAACAATCTCACACGGCTGAGAAGTATATCTTAATTGAGGGCAAAAATCAAGTTAAACACAGCTTCTGAAAGTCAGAGCTATTTCAGCCTGTTAAGGTTATACAGCAAATAACAGCAGCAACATGAAGTGTATTCAAGTACATTTCTTTCCCCACTGTGAACTAAAAATGGTTACAGAGTTAAATACTTTAAAGTAAAAAAACCTCCACCACCCCAAATACTAAACTACTTAATTCTAAAATACTTTTCTTTCTAATACACTCCCTAAAAAGGAGGTTAATAACACTATCTTCATTTCAAATATTGGAAAATTTAAGGCAAAGCAAATTGAGTTTACTTGACCACCATCTTCACTTTTGGTTTTTCCAAAGTGTACTCATTTGATATGCCAAACAAATACGATCCACATAATGTGAATTTAGGTCTACATATACACTTACACAAGTAAAGTAGTTACTGTTCTTGAATGGCAGAGCTATGAGTGAGAAATTGTTAAAAGCAAATGGTTCACACAAGTTCAGAAAAATGCATTTAAAAAACACACCCACAAAACACATGTTCCAGAACATGAAATAACCATCTTTGTATTATGAACCGAGTTTCAGACAAAGTCACAGTACAGGTGGTACAAGAAGACATGATACATATGAATCATTTCACACTAATTTTCCTCTACAACAAATCATCACATTATGACCACCTTTGTTTTAAACAACATTCACAGGATTCTACATTTTCTAAGAACACAGAGTAAAACACCCACTTGCTCTGGTATTTAAGTAGTTTTTACTACTTCCTCTCGTCTCCCTGTGTCTTTCATCAGCCTCTAAATCCAGGCTATTCATTCATTTTTCTAAATTAAATAGCAACATTATGGCACACACTGAACACGAACCAGTTACTCTTCAAACATAAGACAGTGCGTTTTACAAGTTCAGAAATGTATTGTGGAATGTGAATTTTTAGGTTGGTGGTGTGTTGGGGTTTTTTTGGTTGGTATTTTTGGTTTGTTTGTTTTTTGGGGTTTTTTTTTTAGTTGTTTTGTTGGGTCTTTTTTGTTTCATTTTTTTTAACAACTACAGAAAATCTCTGAATATCAAGGCCAATCAGCCTTTGTACTTAACTTTAAGGAAAGATGTACTTCAACACTGGTTACTAAAAAGCAATTTAACATTCCCTACCCACCCCAAATAGAAATAATGGCATCACATACACACAAACTTTCCTAATCTTTAAAAGAGGAAATACTTCTACTGGTTTATTCCTCTATCCAAGATGAAAACACAGGTATCAATTTAACAGCCATAATTGTACAATATACCTGTCTAAGACCACCAAATCAGTTGCAGTTTCAGCATTACTCTTTAAAATTTTCTCCAGTTTCTGGATCTTCTCCTCCAACTCAGCAGGATCACATTTCCCATTTAAAATGGAAGCTGTTAATCCCAAGATTCGAGGACATGATGGATAATCCTCACAGATCTGTGAAGTAAAAGAGAATGGAATACCTTAGGACAGTTATCCTGCAAATCTACCATCAAGCTAGCAGACTGTAAACTTAGATGCTTAGTTGGACACTAGTATTTCAATAGCACGTGTTGGAAAAGGAACCAAACATTGAATGAGTATTTTCTATTCTATTGAGTGGCAGTTAAACTAGAAATTGAGTAACATTTAACAGCAATCATCTTTAAAGGTAAATATTTACAATGTGGAAAAATACAAAGCAATAAACAGTTATCATTGCACAGAATATCCTTGCCACATTTACAACACACATATCATAATATGTAAGTACTAAAGTATGATCTAAAAAAAAGACATGCTCAGGTTAAACTTGAAGAGAGATTCGGAAAGACACCAATTATACAGGTTTCTCGTACTGTATAAGCCAAATACCACATGAAGCCAAGAATATCCCAAAAGAGCCCTACAAACATCTTTAGAAGTCAGTATTTTAAAAATAATAAAACCTGATTAGTACATCCCATTCCCAAACTCAAATATTTTATCAATGAATTTACAAAATTCCCCTAATTCCATAAATTTAGCTTCTGTGTTAATGCCAGATTTTTCTTTAGTCCCCACTGTAAAATACAGTAAATACACTACTTTTCTATCTCATAATGTCACTGAAGTCTTAATTCATTCAAGTAATTTCACAGTCCCAGAACATGCTAAAATATGGCTCCACTGATATTTTTCCTTAAATGGTTCCCACTTCTCCAGCCCTCCCACCTGACTCCTCCTCCTCCTCATCCAAGTATTAACATATTCATGCAATGGAAACTCACCTTCATAATTTCACAGTATGGGTGATCCTGGATTGCAAGATGGCACTCATCAAACACCAGAAGATTAATATTTGACAGGGATAAATACTTATTTCTCAAAACAGTCAAAGCAATATGACATGTCATAACCAGAACCTAGATTAAAAGGGAAAAAAAAGTGTCAATATAAGAAAAGTGCAAGCTTCTGATCAAGCCTAACTTACTGTAGGCTCTGCTTATATTTATAGTTTATACTTAATACATTACCTGATGCTTAGAGAATTCCTGACTCCACTTCTCTTTTGTCCATGATTCAGTTGTCTCTAAACTTGAATACTCTCCCACTTTAAGATCTGAATGTGTCCTGACAGCTGACACTTGTTGAGCAACTTGATTTGCTTAAGAAAAAAAATATAAAAAAGTCTCAATCACATAAAGGTCTTGTCATACATAAATTTTCAAGATGTGTGTCATATTACCTAGCACCAGGTTTCACAACATAGATTAGACTAAAGTTAAACCAGGTGTACACAGCAACTGCCTCCATGTAAAACCACAGCAAGGAAACAGATTGGTAACTCAGTTAAACCACAGCAAGGAAACAGATTGGTAACTAAACTGCACTTCACATTCAATGTCTTAATTTTAAACTAGGAAACAGAAGATGCCAGAGATAAACAGGTTGTATTCAATGGATTATAAGCAAAAGATGAAAGGTATCACGTTATTTAATCAGTTTAGCATCCTTGCTGTTGAAGACTTTATGCAAAAGTTTCTCCCAAATTTGCTTTCACGCAACTTCTACTAAGGAATATGCCATGGAAATATTAGCAGCATGTTTAGGAACTTAGTATACTTTTCCCCTTACCTGAGTTGACCAAGAACACAGTTCTTTTTCCATTTTTGTTGAAATCTCCCCTGATCTGATAGGACAGCTCTTTAGTGAGTAGTACTGCAATAAAAGTCTTCCCTGAGCCAGTGTTTAAGCAGACTATTGTATTATGATCCAAAGCTGCTTCAAGCAGTTCAACCTAGGTTTAAAAAATAATAATGTCCTTACTTGCAGCAATGCAGTGAAAAAGCTGACAAAAAAACCCCACCACAAGTGGTAAATGAACTACAGACAAGTCAGTAGTATCTCTAGAGATCTTTCCAATGCCATAGAATTAACACGTCTCTTTCATAACAATGTATTGTCAGTCTTTCAAAATAATACACTGTATACAGTCTAAATCTTCTATATATAGCTTCTAAGTCTAAAATCCTTTAGTATCACAATTTGCTGATATTTTAAGTAGCTTTCTAACTATATCTTTTTAATAGATGATTCTGTTGCTAGATACATTTTGTGAAGAAAGAAGCTAGAGCTTTTAAATGTAACTGTATACATCACTTCAGCCAAATAAGCAAGTATATTAGCTCAAGGTGATCTAAGCTTTCCAGTAATACTAACCAAATGCTAGCTTTCAGGCACCTCTGCAGTGCAAAGAGAACTGCAATTCTAGAACTCAGAAATAGCTTTCCTTATTAAAAAAAAAAAAAAATGAAAATCAGAGTGCCCTGATGGGGTTTCTGACATTACTGAGCTGCTTTGACCAGTATGTGAACCAAAAATCAAGGATTTACCATGCAGAAGACAGAAGGTCAGAGGGAGAAGGAGACATGATTGTATGCATACAGTAGATACACACAGTGTAATGTTTACTGTATTTGTCCCTAACAGCATTTGGCAGAGAGCAGCAAGAGAATACTCAGCTTAAGAGTTGTTCTGCTCATTAGAGCAAACTGAGAAGAGGGCATGGAGGATATTACAAATGTAGAACACGGCCAAGCTAAAGAAAAAGAGACAGAATTAACTCCCAACAGGTGGAGCTGTGAGAGACATGCTTAAGACTGCAACACTGCACATTCTCCAGCTGCTCTGGTTCTTTTTCTATTAAGTTAATGGATTTAATTGTACATTTTTCTGACATTACTGAATTAGTATTATCCCTAGTACCTGATATTTTCTTGGCGTGTAAATGTTATCATGAATTGCTTCTTGTTGCCATGGTAGTCCAAAAAATGGACCCATTGGGGAGGAAGCAGGGGTCATGAGCTGCAGTCCCGCCATGCTGAGGGATTGCAAAGCAGGGCTTTTCATTCATTCATCCAGTGTTTCTTTCATTGCATTTTTGTTTCAGCACAGCCTACTATGAGAAGAAAAAGAAACAGTATTAGATACAGTCACAATATAAAGCAAGAAAAGAAAATTTATTCTTAATTAAGAAAAAGGACATTACTTGATTTTACTTCCAGTAAGTGCTAAATCTCATACTATTTTCAGCAGAAAATGTTAATTTTAAATTTACACGCACTTTTCCACTTAAAGATTTGTGTTTATCAAAGTACCAAAGAAATTCAAAAGCAACTGTACTTTATGGGGCAAAGTTCATTCTAGGCATTTGGATTTACACATGTACATTTCAGAATAAAGTCCCATTTATGTTCTGACAGAATCCCATTTAAAATATCTTTAAGAACAAATTTTTAGAAATAGAGCTGTTTTAGCTTTACTTCAGGAAGGACAAAGATTTGATTTTCTAGAGCACAGGCATAAATAAGTATCACATTTTCCATTTCTCTTTCCAACCAAAAAGTCTCTAAGGCCAGTTAAAGCTTTACATACACACACACACACAACAGGAACTTTATTCTAATCAGCGGGAAAACAGGAACTACACAAGAACCTCAGTATTTTCAAATCAACAGATTCTGGTAAGGTTATCTATTTAAGGAACTGGCAGAAGTATTCTAAATAATTGCTGATGACTCTGATAAGGGTCCCTTTCCCCATTAGTCCTTATCAGGTTAACCACCAATTTCCAGAAAGATATTCTAATTGATAAACAAACAAACATTCACAACTTGATGACAACTACACACTGGAAAACACTTTCCTACTAAGGCTATGAAGTCCTCATCACTGAGGGTTTTTAAAAATGTTTGCTATATGTCAGGAATGATCAAGGGGGGAAAAAAAAAAAAAAAAAAATCAATTCTACCTTGCCCAGGGAAACTGATTAAGGCATGACGATATAGAAAAATATTGCTGAAGTATAATACAAACATACTGCATAAAATCTAAGAAATTTTGAATACTTCTCCCCTTTAAATCAGATACATACCCTATTCACAAAACAGTATTTTCAAAAGTTAGTTTTCCTCAAAATTCCTAGATACTCTACGTTCATTTTAGCATTAATCTCAAAATGAGAAATGCATAAAATTGACAATGTTTTCAAATTTAATGATTCATTAGAAATACATGAGGAAAAGCTAATTATCATCCTATTGCACAGAAACGTCCTTGCTTTTCTATATAACAGGAAAGTTGGTTAAGTTTTGCAAATGTGCTAGTTTTCCTCAAAATTCCTAGATACTCTACGTTCATTTTAGCATTAATCTCAAAATGAGAAATGCATAAAATTGACAATGTTTTCAAATTTAATGATTCATTAGAAATACATGAGGAAAAGCTAATTATCATCCTATTGCACAGAAACGTCCTTGCTTTTCTATATAACAGGAAAGTTGGTTAAGTTTTGCAAATGTGCAGTAGGGGAAAAAAAACAACTGAGAAATATATGATATGGTATCTAATAGAAAATATTAACCACTAATGATTATCAGAAATAACTGTTTTGAGGTATTACAAATAAAGCAGTATAATTTTTTTAAAAAGTATTCATTTATTTTTGTACTAGAATGAAATTTTATTTTATTTACCATAGTCTTCACCTAATAAAACATTGTAGCTCTTTGTCATATATTCAAATTTTTAAGTTAAATATTATAATTTGGGCCATGTCTAAACACTAATTTATTTTCTAACTTAACTACTATTAAAGAAGGCAATACATTAAATTACATGACCACTCCTCTTGCAGATTCATGCAGAAGTAATGTCACTTTATAGATATAGTCAGAGATAAAGCTTTGTCTCAGTTTTTTCCAAATAGGTAGGGGCGGTCCTGAAGGACAGCGTGGTTAAGTTGAAGTAACATTGTTCTGTTCCATTATAAAGCATTACTTCTCTTTTGAAGACAAACATTCAGTATTAAACGCTACTTAGTGAAAGAGGGTAAATGTAACTTCTTGGTCTTTGACTCAGCAATAGATGTACCTCCCCCCCATCAAAAATAGTATTTCTTTACTAGGAAAACTGTGTTGACATTGCTGGAATCTTGTCTGATGTTTTAATTGGAGCTTCACAGAAACTGTCAGAGTGAGAAGACTCCAGAAAGAAAAGATGTATTCAAGTGTTTAAAAACAAAAAAAAAAGGAATGAATGTACATTTTGACAGGACATACTAAAGAATGCTCTTGACATTTTATCCAATTTTTTTTTCCCAGTTCATAGAATAGAATCATAGAATAGTTTGGGT